CATCTTTATTATTTATGTCTTGTTACCACCTTTATGCATTGTGTGAATAAATAAATATGAATGAATGAATGAATGAATTTAAACATCCATACAATAGGAATTGAGAAGCCGCAAGTTTAAGTTACTCAGTGTGTTTTATCCAACTGTCTCCAGCATGGCACTGTTCATGTCTTCAGCTTAAGAATATTGAGTCGTCTCAAGACTGTGTTCCCTTATACAGTATCTCCAAAGTAATATGTTTTATAAGTCAATCGTGACGTCATCACTGCAACTTCTAATGTTATTTGCCTATTCCCCACCGTCCACTAAATTTTCAATTAGTGGACGCTTGGCTTGATTTTTTTAGGTTCGTGTGCAAAAAAAATTCCTCATTTTTTTGTCACTGCGAAGACATCTCGTGCACCACAATAAAAATTGAATTGTAATTGAAAATTACTTTCGTAAAACAAGGTTAATTAGAACCTGAAGAAAGTTACTTTAAATTCAATATTAAGCATGAACAATTAAGCAATTCCTTGAATCAATGAACCCTAAAAATCTAAACAAACTGAAAGTTTAATAGAAATATTCTAGAAATACAGGGACAAAGTGCTCTTTTTACAGAATGTCTCCACCAGACACCGAAAAAATTACCAAATTATTCACCTGCATTTTAAAGGTTATAAATAAATAAATAAAATAAAATAAATAAAAATAAATAAATAAATAAGTAAATTAATTAATAAATAAATATGTCAAATAAAGTTACCGAGTTTAAGATTGAATCTGGGTTAGTGATGAAAATCATGAGGTGTTATAATCAGGGAACAGTGAAATATAATTGTTCTCTGGTTATAATTCATAGTGATTTTTTTTTTGTTTTATTATTTATTAGAATTTTGCAATGCTTCAGTAACTAGATCTTTCCAAAATTATCAGTGTAATTTTTTTTCTATAAACTTTTTGAACTCTGATAGTAATCAATTTTATTCAAATTTCTGTCTCCAATGATCACACAAACATCTGTTGTCAAATTAAACTGCAGTTCAGGATATACATGGGGGTTGGGGGGTTGAAACCAGAAGCTGGTGACGTAGATAATACACCATTTTCGCATTGGGAGTTTCTATTAAGGGGTTGAGTTAAGATAAAAATATTTTTACCATATATGGCCAAAATACATATCTTTCAGTTGTGTAAGTTTAATTTCAATTGCCAACTATCTACGTAGTTATTTGACCCCAAATAACTAATTGCCATTAAAATGTTTGGTCTCGGCCAGTAGTTGACCACACAACCTAAGGTCGAAATCATAAAATAATTAATTTTGTGAAAATAAAACTGATTTTGAGATGCTAATAACCTTTTAATGCCTATTCAAAGCTTGATTCTGATGCCAAAATCAGAAAGTTTGGGTACAACTGAGTCAGAGTAGCAATTTTCAGCAAATGAAAATATTGCCTTTCAAAAGCCCTTACAAAATATCGCTGCTCTTCACAAATCTAAAAAAAGGGGCGTGTCTTCAAAATTTAAAAATGCCGTAACTTCTGAACACTTGAGAAATTTTCAATGAAACTTTGGGATTTTTCATAATACCCCTCAAAGTATATTTGGTTAAAATTTCAGCAAAATCCAAAACGGTCACCATGGAGCCCCTGGTTGAGTATGGAATGACTCTTGATTAATGGTATGCAGAAACTCCGAAATCGGAGGTTTGATTGGAAGTTTGAAAACTCCAATTTTGGAGTTTTCGTGTATAGTACGCAAAACCTCCAAAATTGGAGTTTTGACGACGGGCGCAGACACTCCAATTTCGGAGTAATTACATACCTCAAATGACATAATTAAAAGGTAGGGCTAAACCTTTGTCTACAGGTTAAAATTTTACTTACAACACATATATTCGTCGTCGTAAAAACTATTTATACCCTGCTGGAAAAAAGACAGTTCTAAATGCACTACTAGCAGGCACGTGTTCTCTCAGCCTGGCGGCGTACAAAGAACAAGAATATGTGACTGACATCTTGTCTTCTCCTAATATAATATTGTGGGAACATACTTGTATGAACATTTTTCACTGAATTAAATGTTACTAGGCAACTTGTAGTACTGGTAACTTGCTATTATGCCTATTTAAAACAGTTTCTTTCTATTAATGACAAAGAAAAAGCATCAACAAAATACAAACTAAGTGAATTGGTTTCAGGCTAAAATCGTTAACATTTTAATATTTTTAGACAGTGCGAAAATATAACAATTAGTTACCCACAATTTCCAGATCACTAGCTTGCCATCATACCTCTAAACCACCGAGCTTGCGCCTGATATATATGTGTATATGTATCACGACAATAACAATTACTATCAACAATGCAGTACCCGCTGCTTACTTGGACTCGAATTCAACCCTGGCCATCAGGCGCAAGCTCGGTGGTCTAGAGGTATGATGGCAGGCTAGTGATCTGGAGATCGTGGGTTTGAGTCCCACCCGAGAACAACTTGCGATTTTTTTTCGCAGTTGTTTTCAAATGCACCGAGTATTCGGTACATTTCCACGTCAGGTAGGGCAAAAATTACACCTATACATGTTTCTCCTGACGCAAATCCAGTTATTGCCTATTATTCCATCACGACAATAACAATTACATCATACTACTTTAGGCTTAGAAAAGTCAAACCAACACATGATGTAAAATAATCAAAACTTGCCAAAATTCAGGCAGGCAGTGCATGCTGCTAGGCCTACCTTGTCTAGGCTACGGGCAAGGCTGGGCAGCCTGTACCAGGGGGCCTACCCTACTCTGTCTTATGGTTACCCGCGGTCTAAATGCACTTTAAATCAAATCAGCTAGTCTGAGTATAAACGTATGGCAACATCAACCTTTTATCCTCTTAAGAATAAATCACTGCTCGGCTATTCAATAAGTATCTGTATTATTTGTTTATCACTGTCAAAAAACGATTAGCAAGCTGCTCTATTTTTAGAAGATGACATCAGCAATTACCCATCATTCAACTCTACAGGTACCAAAACCACATGTTTGGAAGTCAGGAAGGTCAAAAAAAATAGGAACAGTTTCTTTTTTTAAATTATACAAAAATACCTTGAATAAATTAAATAAATAATAAGCCCAGTGCTTTTAATACAAATTAATATCAATGTTTGTTTACTAATTTTCTACAAATTACGGAGAGAGGCCTAGCTAAAGATCGCAGAGAGCTGCTGCTAGGCCCAGCTAAACCTTGGCTAAGCCACCACTGTATGTTGAACAGTCAGCCTATTAGTGACAGAGAAGATTATGTCGGTCTATCCATGGAACGATTTTCTTAGCCTATTATGAATCGATATTTAATATGTTATTTTGTCTTGCATTAACATTTAATTGATTTTTTAAAGATTTCTATAAATGTTTATTGAACACTTAAATGCAAAATAAAGCCTAAATGTTGGTAGGCCAGCCTAGTCATACAGTAGGCTACAACTTGGTGTTTTTAAACTTGAGGGCGCTATTCTTATGAACTTCTCATTTACAAATTTTCTCAATTACGAACTGCTTTCAGCCCAAGGTGTACGTAAATGGGAAGGTCGACTGTAAGTAGCCCTCTCAGTGAAAAACACTGCTTTTTCAAGGGGCTCCACAATACAGTAAAATCTACAGAAGAAAATACACTACAGTTAAATCTTTCTATTATCTTTTGAATTTGGCGTAAAAGACAGTCTGGCACAATTTTATCTTGTTGAATTAATTCGGGCTTGAGACATTAACTACTTGGTTTTCTCGCTATGGAGATGTTATCAACTAAATTGTAATAAGTGTTTAAATAACATCCCATTGTGTTTACATTTGGTAGGTCTTTACCGATTACTTTATAAGCAGTATTAATTATTTAGTGCACCTCTAGATATCTGGAAAGGGGACTATCAGACTTAAAAATTGTCTTAATTTGAAAATTTAAAAACTGAACATTATCCACCACTTGATATGCCAACATCAAGTGAACTACAACAGACCTAATGAAAAATAAATGACACATTTGTGCAATCTAAATTTAAGCAGACTTTTACGCATAAACCTGCAATTCTATTGTGAATTATGGAAAAATCATGAAATTTTACAAAAAGAGCTTGAGATAGGGCCTGAAAGCGCAAGTCTCATGCCATTTAAGTACACAGAATGCAGGCTAAAGTGAAGCAAGTCCAAGTTGGAATTAATGAGCTCCAATGTGCCCCTGGTCAGGGTACAGTGACAAACGCCCCAGCAAACATCAGCGGTAAATTATTTAAAAGGAAAAGTAGGATAAAGAAAGGACAATTTTGCTGACAAGCGGTATATGTAGGGAATCTATATTGGTTAGGCTTTCATGCATACATATTTTTTTTGTGATTTCTCCATCACAATGATATCAGTGTTCAAGTGACAATTTTTATAACTAGGCATTGATTATTTTAAAGTATAATTACTAACAGTTTTAAATTAAAGTTCAGTATTAAATATAAAGACAAATATTATTAATCAATATTTTTTTTTATGCATTGCTTTATTCGATTTTTTTAAAATAAGGGGCCCATGCAGTTTCAATGAACCGCATGAACCTGTGGTAGTTATGCCACATCTAGGTGCAAGTGATTATTTTTAACAAATTTTTATTATAATGAGCAGTATTATATAAAGATAAATACTATCACTCTAGATTTTGATTTATTTATTGCTTTATTAGATTTTTTATAAGGGGGAAAGGCCCTTATAGATCGGGTCCCTGGAGCTTGGGGCCCAGGTTCAATGGCCCTGCTGAACCTGCGGTATTTACACCACTGGAGCATAGCAAATCTAACTGCTGCACACCTAACATAAAAGATAACATTCAAAAGTTCTGTATATTGATTAATCATGCATTGATAGATAATAGATCTTATTTTCTCCTTTTTTAGGACTACCATTCACCACTGCTGATCATAAGGGTGTTCTTCTTACTCAAACGACTAATGATTACAAGGATTGTGTTCAGTACGCATCACCTACCTTCACTTCCACTGGCTACAAAATTTTCTCCAACACCACCGAAGCATGCATGGATTGCGTAGAAACCTTGTGTGATTCCCTGAAACTTCCGTACCAAAATTTTGTCCTTGATATCCCACATATGTACCCCTTGGTTGGCAACATTTAGGAGTGCATATCGTTCATTAGAACTCAAAACAAAAGACATAATTGGATGATCTTCTTGGATTCTAGAAGAAATAAAAATAAAAGGAAAGGGCGAGGTCAAATATAGATAGATAGATAAGAGGTTTGTTGATTTCCAAATTCTGTGGGCTAGATTGTAGTGGGTAGTGGTATGGACAAAGGAGAGTACTTGCAATACAGTACAACTTGCGAAAATATAGTAAAGTAGGGCATAGAATTACATACTTTTAAAAAAATTGTTTTTGATGGCCTAACAAACATAATGGGGTCAAACCTTCTAGGCAAAAGGAATGGCTCATATAAATACAGTAGTACTACAGTTCCAATAATTGAGATACTCACACATTATAGTCAGTGACCTCTTCAAAGATGTAAGCTCTGATTCTTTTGTGGGTGTCTGATGCAAGAACTGTCTTTCCATCAGACTTGGTACATATCGTGTGAACCCTCACACCTTCCCAAGAGTGAATGATACCGCCATCAATATGCTAAATAGCAGAAAGAATTAAATGCGGAAATAATACAAAATAGATTTTTTTTCCTTCCTAAGACAATCTTATTTCCTAATGAATGTTTTTAAAGTCTGTTTCGCAATTCAATTCTTCTACTGAAACACAAAGAGAGCAGTGGATGGAACTGAATTTGCAAAAAAGATTAACAATGGTTGCACATGTGCAATCAAATGCAGTGAAGACCAAAACCTCCTTGATCAGTATACTTACACAGTAGGTTAGAATAGGCCTAGCATTTACTAAGTTTTCAAGTTTAAGGTCAGAATATCGATTCAGTAATTGAAATACATTATAAGTTTATACATATTTAATAAAATCCACCAAAATACTTAATAGACAGAATTTTTAAAATGCTGAAGTTGTTAACACTTCACAAACATGTTGCAATTTGTGGAGATTCCCCATTTAGGCCTAAGCCCTAGATCTGCAGGCTCTATATCTGCATTGCATCGTAGTCGGCGAGTTTAGGCCTTGAAATACGGACAATTCTTGCTGTTTAGTGATCATTATCATGTTTAAATCAGAGCCTTGCAGGCATCAACATCCCTATGCATGATACATGACTTAAAAAGTATATAGGCCCTATATATATGTGTACATATATATACATATACACATATATATACGTATACACCTACATATATACGTATACACGTATATATATATATATATATATATATATATATATATACACACGTATAAACGCATATATATATATATATATATACGCGTGCGTGTAC